GTTTTGTTTTTATGAATAAGTATTGTCAGGCAGGGCATATACCATTTAGGAGAAAACAAAGGAAAAATAAGTATCAACATGTAACAACAATAGTGTAACAAAAAAAATTAACTAAATTTCTTTGTATTGGCTTATTTCTAATTCTGTTAATTATATCAACATGTTTATAATTATCAACCCTCTGTATTTAATTCATACATAGCAAAGATCATTCTCTGCCTAATTTCTACCTCTTATCTCTATCCATTTCTGCACATTGTAATTTTTTAATTTCATTTTCAACTATAGGGATCTCTTCGTTTTTCCACTGTTGTGCAAACATTATTCTAGCTGTTGTTAACACATATAAAATTAATATGTATTGTATTCCATTTATTTATGTGTATACCAACAAAAATATTTCTAGTTTTAAAATTTAAATCTATATGTTGCTTTACCATTTTTGCTAAACTTGACACTACATCCTCTTGAATAGCTTTTTGAATACTAGCAGAGCCCAATACTGAACTTAGTTCATATATTCCAGTTTTTTAAACTGAGGAATACATTTCAGAAAAAGAATTCAGTTTTGCTCTGTCTATCAATTCCATTCTTAATCTAACTTCTTAGATGATTTTGTACTATTATCTTTTTTTTTTTTGTACTATATATATATCTGCATAAGGCTGTAAAAAGCTTCAGTACATTTTAAGCTGCATTCTAAAAAGGTTAGGTGACCAAACATGGCTACCCCTGGCTTCTCTCTCTCAGCTATAGAGAGAGCATTCCATTAGGGACTGTTGGTCCAGGTAAGTAGTCTTGGCTAGGAAAGATTTTTGTGCCACTACTGGCACAAAATAACAAACTCCTTTGGTTTGTTAATAGTATTTCCATTTTAAGTGTTTCTTTTTCAATTAATGAATTGTAATTATGAAAATATCAGCCATTCTTTTATATACACACTGCAACATCTTTTTTATAGACTGTCATTTTCAAATCCACTTTCAGTTCCGTCTCAGTCTTGTCTGGTGAAACTTGTTCCTCTTCCATAACATATTTTAAACACTAACTAGCTACAGTGTTAGGGACTCTTAAAAGTAACTGAATGTTACTGATCTCCATTCCTCTCCTGTTTTCTTCGCTTGCCACTGCCTTCACCACTCAACTTACAACAACAATCGAGTCCAAACCACTGTTGATTTTTTTTGCACCATATTGCCAAGATGAAAAGGCAAATGAGTTTGTCTGCTTTCTTCAGCAAGAAAACAAAAGGAGATCCAAAAGAGTCACAACCACAACCATTGGAATCTGAGGAAAGCAGAGCCAGCACATCATCCATTGAAGAAAGCAGAGCCAGTACATCATCCACACCAGGACCAGAGGAAAGAGCCAGCACATCATCCATCGAAGAAAGCGGAGCCAGCACATCATCCACACCACAACCAGAAGAAGGAGCCAGCACATCATCAGGTACTAGAAGAGCTGAATCAGATATTGAAGGGAACCTTCCTGACTGCGGGACACTGCAGCAGTACAATAATTTTAGGGAAAAATATGATGGACTGGATGTTTCCCAGAAAAAAATTAGGTTGCAAGTATTGCAGAAGATTTGAAATTTCGACCAAAGAAAAATTGCACTCAGTTCAGCAGAGGTGGAAAGGGGCTTCCCGCACATGAACATAGTATGTTCAGAAGGCAGAAGTCGCCTTACAGTTTCCAATATTACAAATCTCCTGACCATCAGTCTAATTGGCTTACCTGTGCAAGAATGGGACCCTGTTCCTATAGTAAAGAAGTGATTACGGGCACATCATCACATAGCTGATGATGCTCGTGTTAAACACAAGAAAACTGTAACTTGGGACGATAATAGAAAAGCAATTTGGGAGTACTTTAACTAAGTTTTATTGTTTTTTGTAAAGTGTTGTTATGTAATAGTTTTTGATTAATATTTTAAAATGCTGTAACAATATAGTTTTGTGTATCTTTTTATTATTTAAGTATTAAAGACATGACATAAACTACCTTTTGTTTTGGTATTTTTTTTAATACTTAGTCATTAGGGCAAAGAAGTGATGTTGAGTGGGCCTCGCCCAGCCCTCTGCAGTTCTCCCTGTAGCTGCCCGCGCCTCGCCTTGCCCTCTCCAGGGTTCCTTGGCCTTGACCAATTACTGAGATAACATAAACTACCAATCAAGGACTGATAAATGTTCTTATCAAAAATAGGACTTTGAACATCACTATGGCTAAACTCCTGGCTCATTGGTGTTTTAGCCAGTTTACAAAGTTCCATTTTAAAACTTTTTAGTAATTGGTTAATTTTATCTGCTTGTGGGATCTTGTATCCTCCCCTAGTTCTATCTATCTTTAAACAAAGATAATGTTTCATTTCTCCTAACTGTTTTATTTTAAATTTCTTTTCCAATAGTGAAATTATCTCAGTAGCTTCTTGTTCAGTTTTGGTGATTAATGCTATGCCATCAGTAAATAATAGCAATAATGAAATTACACCATAATTTTCTTTTTTAAACAAACATGGATCAGCCATGCCAGCTACAAAACCTACCTTAGTTAATTCTTTAACTATACATTGGTTCCACTCATATCCTGATTGCTTCAAACCATAAAGACTCTTTTTCAATCTCCAGCAATCAGCTGTATTATCATTTTTGAGACCTAAAGGTTTCTTTAAATATATAGTGTGTTGCAACGGTGCATGCAGATAAGCCATTTCTACATCCAAATGATTTACAATACATTTCTCTTTAGCTGCCCACACTAATGCTGCCCTTAATGTAGTAGCCTTCAGACTAGGTGCAAACACCTCATCATAGTCATTTGCTGTCTGATTGAACCCTTGTGCTACTAACTTGGCTTTATGGGTAACAGTCCCATCTACACCTGTGTCAGCCTTCAAGATCTTTTCTACTGCTTTGCATCTTTTGGCTGCCATAAGTAACGGGGGAGGGGATATGTTTGGGAAGAGAGCTGGAGGTGTTACATTCCTGTGTTGTGTAAATGAGGAGTGGGGGGGGGAGTATAAATTCTTGCTCTTAAGTTTCTATTCCTCGTCTAGCTTTCTTTTCTCTGCACAGCTGCAAATCTTTATCAAAATATGTCAAGGTCAACAGACAGAGGCCTCATCACCACCTGAAGATGCTCACATGATCCTATTCATAACTTTTAATTGGAAGACTCATTTGGACTATGAGGGGTGAGAACATTTCCAGCACTTTGTATATGTGATCTGCGTGCCTAATTTCTTAGATTCAGAATTCTATTTGATGCTACCACTTCATTTTCAGTAAAAGATTTCTTTGCTCTAATCTAAAGAGTCTAAGTTTTTCTTTCTTGAATTTTGAATGGAGCACCACCTGACAACCTGTCTTTAGCTTATTGGTTGGAATGGAGGGTTGCTGGAATACTGGCATTGGACTAACACTGAGTGACCAGCAGCTAGTCCATATTCGTGGAGAAGAGTCTGCTGCTAGGTGTTGGGAAAATTTGAAGAGGATTTATGTTTGTGACAGTGTAGGTGCACACATACATCTTACATGAAAACTGTTTAGAGCACGTCTTCTGAAAGGTGCAGATATGTTAGCTCATTTAAACTTCATGAAAAGAATTTTTCAAGAGCTACATGAAAAAGAACTGAATACTGGCATTCCCAGGGTCATGTGAACCCATCAATGGGGAGACCATTGGGGAGCCAAATCAATGGGGAGACCAGATTCATTTAGCAGCTGTGTTCTAATTTAACAATTGCAGTGATTCACTTCACAAATGTGGCAAGAAAAGTCATGAAATGGGGCAAAATTCACTTAATAAATTTTTCACTTAGCAACATAAATTTTGTACGATTGTGATTGTAAATCAAGGAGAGGCCAGGTGAGGTGAGTGTGACAAGGAGTGGCTGGGAGAGGAGGGGTGAGGTTGGGCCGGGCATGGCGAGGAGAGACTGGGCAAAAAGCACCCCTTGACATGAGTGATGTCGAGTTGGCCACGCCCACCCAGTCACATGACCACCCAGCCACACCTACCCAGCTGGTCATTAGGGCAGAGAACTGGTTGTTAAATTATTTGAATCCCACCACTGTACAAATCCCATTCCCTTCTAGCATTGACAATATTATCTAGTTGGGTAATGAAATGTCTGCAGGAAAACTACCAAGATCAAAGAACACCAAGGACCTTACAATGCTCCTTCCTCCTTCACTCTGCAAACCCATTCCCTTCTAGTACTGATGATGTTGGGAAATGAAACATCTGCAAGAAAACAACTAAGCTTAAAGAGCATCAAGGATCCTTCATTTCAGCCCTGAGCTACAAATATAGATACTACTGAAAGTTGGGCATACCTGAAACAGCATGAAAGGCTCCCTAATTAATAAACTTTCAGAAAAATACCAATCCCTTCTGCATTTTTTCTTATGTCCTCTTTTCAGATGAGCCAAGGTATGTCCTTACTTAGAAAGCTATGGAACCTAATTATCTATCATAGACTGTGATTCCATAGTGGGAAGATTTATGGCAGGTTTCCATATTCTGCTTATAAATCTCAGCTGCATATCCAGTACTGAAACTATTCTTGCAAGAAGGAATTGCTTTGCTGCTTCTTGTACTCCTTATTCTTTGTGTGTAAGATGATGGTGGGGGGAGAGACAGAAGAAAAAGCCACTCAATTAAAATGACATTTTACTAATGGTGGATTATGCCAGCAAGTGAGCAGTCAAAGCTTTATCTGTCACATTTACATTTCTACCTTCCATTTAAATAATAGCACATTTTGACATTTTTTTCCCTTTTGTGAAATTTTTTCTCCTGGAGTTGCTAAGCAATAAATCAAACATGGAAATCCAAAGAGAACATAAGGAGAAGAACGTGGGATGGGGATTGGGAGCTAATTTCTGACAGCTGACTCACAATGAAATATGCAAGTTAAAATGTAGAAAATTTTGCTCTATTAGGGCAAAGGTTATGGAGAGATAAAAAGATACAAAGGCAGGAGAAGATAAGCTAAGGAGAAACCTCTTTATTTCTCTCCCACACATGCACTGAGATTTCCCCACTTAAAATAAAATGGGAATAAAAAGATTTCCTGCAAATCTCATTCTAAAAGCTGTAGTATTCTGTAGAATGTTTTAGCTTTCACAAGGCTTCCTGAGCCTTGAAATTTATGACAGGGAAATCTCAGTAAAAGGAAGACAATTAACTGAATCTAGGGCTATTTGCCATTGCTAAACACATGATGATAAACACATGGCTTGAATCCAACTATTCTTTTTATATTGGAGGAAGTATTTCAGTGCTGCAGTTGGAAGTAATCAGCAATTTGCATAGGTGTGTTTTTCTTGTAATTATCTTTGGCAGTATCCATAATTCAAATGTAATTAATTGTGCTATAGCAATATGTTTCTTACTATGATTGTTGACGTTTGTAAGTTACTTGGATATCGTAACTGACACTGACTTCAGTGAATAGTCGGTTTTCTGAATATGTAGGTTTTAATATTCTTTCCAGGGGTTAAATTCAAATTTTTTAACAACCGGTTCTGTGGGCATAGCTTAGTTGGTGGGTGTGGCTTGGTGGTCATGTAACTGGGTGAGCATGGCTTGGTGGTCATGGGACTGGCTGGGTGTGGCCACTCAACATCACTCACATCGAGGGGCACTTCTCCTCACCTAGCCTCTGTGACTGTGGGGAAGCTGCAATGGTCATAAGTGTGAAAAATGGTCATAAGTCACTTTTTCAGTGCCATTGTAACTTTGAATGGTCACTAAATGAACTGCTGTAAGTCAAGGATTACCTATACAAAAATACAAAAAGTTTCTTTGCTTGCAAAAAGCTGTCCTAAATCATTAGATCATTAGATTAGAAATGGGGGAATACACACTGAGGATCAATTAGCTGTCATGGAAAGGTAAACCATTCTGTATGAATACCTTTCTTTTCCTCAGCAATACCTACAACCCAGAGTTACAAATCGGGCAGGGTGCCAGAGCACATTGAGAAATTAACATAGTTAAAATACAACCAACTCTTGCTCATAAAATGAAACCCTTTAGCAGAGAGGTCATTTAAAGTCCCCAGAAAGTGTGTGGGCATATTTAGGCTACAAAATATGGAGCTAGAGACAAATTAACATTTTGAGGGTTAATCCCATTCTGTCTTTGTTCAGACCTTGCTGCAGGGAATTTTTGCCTATGAATATCTCTTTATCTCTTACATGCTGACATCAGCTGTGAGCTATTAAGGAAGGTGGGGGCTGCTTTCTCTAAGAAAACATGTTTCTCCATTTCTCATCCAGGGAAATATATTCTTCCTTTTTAATATTTCTCAAAATATTTCATTCTTCTAGGAGAGGGGTGGGTGCTAACTTTCTACATTTGGTGCCATGTTACTATGCCATATCATGAGAGCAAACTATAACAAATTGGAAGTGATTGCTCAATCATGTAGTTTGGCCACTCTGAATGCAAGAGATTCCTGTTCCAAAGGTGCATTTTCAAGAGGCAACTGGACTTTCTGGAAACCAAGGAAGTCCAGATGCCTCTTGAAAAAAGCACCTTTGGAACAGCCATGGCCTGGATGACTGAAGAATCCCCATAGACAAGAGACTCCTTGCTTTGTACTGGGAACCAACGAACCACAGAATGAGGCGAGGAGGCTAAATTGGTTGCTTAGGCTTTATTGAATTCGCACACTAACAGCGAATGAACCACTTAGCTGTGAGTCAACAGCTGTTGGCCTGTTTGACAGCTCCTTATATAGTCAGCTGTCACTGGCCAATCAGGTTGTGGCTGGGCGCCCTCTGCTGGAAACCGGACCAGAGGGGGAACTTCAGAACATAGCACTCCTTCCCACCTTGACAGCGCATGTGTAGTCTTCGAGGTAGGCCGGGCGGTGCCGGATCCTAGTTGATCTGCGCAGCAATGGCTTGTTGGACGTGGTGAGAACCTCTTCGGCTGGAACCTCTTCAACTGAAAACTCCGACTGCTGCAGTTGGACCTCTGCTGGTGATTCCTCGACCCATGGCCTCTCTGGTGAGTGTGGCTGCTGGTGTGTGGTTGGTGCAGACGGTCTTGTGTTGGTTCCTAAGAACTCATCATTCTCCCTCGTTAATACAGCTCCTGGCCTCAGGTTCCCTCACCCCCTTAATTGATTAATGTGGTGCCTCCAGGTCCGGCCATCCTCTAACTTCACAATGTATGAACATGGCCCAGTTATGCTAGTTATGGACGCTGGTAGCCACAGGGGATTACCAGTGTAGTTCCTAGTGAATACCTGGTCCCCCACATCAAATTCCCTGGTATTGCTATGCGAGTCAAGGGGCTTGTTTGGTGTATAGGCAGGATGCACTGTTCTAAATCTTCGGCCCATTAATAATTCTGTTGGGCTATGATTTGTGGATGGACATGGGGTAGAATGCTGAATTAGCAGATACTGGGCTACTCTATTTGGCCATGGCCCTAGGCCCATCTTTGCTAGTGCCTCTTTTGCAGATCTTACCCCTCATTCTGCAATACCATTACTAGAGGGATTGAAAGGAGCAATTAATGCATGTCTTATGCCTAAACTAATGAGAAACAGCTCAAAACTTCTTGAGGTAAATTGTGGCCTGTTATCTGATACAATTAGATTGGGAAGCCCATGGGTGGCGAACACCTTTTGTAAAGCTAAGCTGACAGCTTCAGATGTTGTAGAGGTCATTAAAACTACCTCAACCCACTTGGAGAAAGCATCTACTAAGATGAGGAAGGTATGGCCTTGGAAGGGCCCCGTGAAATCAATGTGCAGGCATGACCATGGACCTCTGGGGGCTTCCCACTCTCTTACTGTGGCTTTTGGGGGTAATGGCCTAGTTTCCTGACACTGCTGACACCCTGACACCCATTCAGATATTGCCTGGTCCATCCCTGGCCACCACACATAGCTTCGGCCTAAGAACTTCATACGAATGATGCCCAGGTGACTCTTGTGGAGTGCCCCCAGTACGTGCTTTTGTAAGGATGAGGGAATTAGCACTCTATTCCCCCATAGTAAACAACCCTTGCTGCAAGACAGCTCTTGTTGCCTTATTTTGAAGGGACAACAATCAGCAGGCACAGACCCTTGTGGCCATCCCCTTTTCACCCAATTTGCCTAAAGAGTCTGTCTTTAGCTGAATGGGCAGCAATGTCTGCAGTGGTCAGTAGGAAGTCCTGTTGATGGTCAATGAGGAGGATGGATTCCTCAGCCTCCTGGTCCTCTGCTGCAGCTGGAATCGGGCACCTGCTGAGGGCATCAGCACGACTGAGATGTTTGCCCGGCCGATATGTCAGTGTGTATGAGTATGCTGCCAAAAAAAAAAAACACCTTGTCATTTGAGGGGAGAGTATTTGAGGAGTCTGTTTATCCCCAGCAAATAAACCTAGTAAAGGCTTATGATCCATGATAAGTTCAAACTTATCTCCATAAACATACTTGTGGAAACGTTTAATGCCAGTAATGGCAGCAAAGGCCTCACAATCTATTTGGCTATAATTTTGTTCTGCCGGCGATAGGGTCCTAGAGAAGAACGCTATAGGGGCCTCAGAGCCATTAGGCAGTCTGTGTCTCAAAACCGCCCCTACTCCATATGGAGAAGCATCGCATGCTAATACTAATGGTAAGCATTCATTGAACTGTATGAGAACAGAGTCTGAAGTTAACAAGTCCTTCACAGCCTTAAAAGAGCTAGCCTCTTTCTTGCCCCAAACCCAAGGTGATTTTTTATCTAAAAGTCTGTGTAGGGGTTCAGCTACTGATGCCTTGTGTGGAATGAAAATGGCGTAGAAATTCAGGAGGCCGAGGAAAGCCTGCAATTCAATTTTATTGTTTGGAATGGGAGCACTTTTTATGGCTTGGACCTTAGCTGTCGTAGGATGAATTCCAGCAGCACCTATCAGGAACCCCAGGAACTCCACCTTAGGTACGCCCAAATGGCACTTACTCTTTTTTAGTTTCAAACCTGTTGCCTGGAACCTCTTAAAAACTTCCCTTAGGCTGTCTAAAAGTGCCTTTTCATCTCTAGCTGAAACAATAATGTTGTCAAAGTATGGAACGACTCCAGGGATGCCTTGTAAAAATCGTTCCATTAGGGACTGGAATATCCCAGAGGCAGCACTAATGCCAAATTGTAGCCTATTGCATCTAAATGCTCCTCTGTGTGTTACTATGGTTTGGGCTTCTGCGGTGGCTGAGTCCACCAGCAGCTGTTGATATGCTTGAGCCATGTCAAGCTTTGCAAAAAAATTTCCGTTACCCAGTGAATGCAACAGATGTTGCACCACCGGCACTGAGTACGCACTTTGCTGTAATGCCAAATTAAGGGTTGTTTGTAGTCCGAGGACATCCTGACTGACCCATCAGCCTTGAGTGGCGTGACAATTGGGGTCTCCCAAGGAGCGTGATCTATTGGCTCTAATACTCCTTGTGATATAAGCTTATCGAATTCAGCATCGATTTTTGGGTGGAGTGCAAAGGGCACTTGCCTGGCTTTCAATCTCCTAGGCATAACTGTAGGGTCTAAATTCAGTGAATTAGGTTTCCCTGTATATTTATCTAGGTCATTGTCAAAAACACTAGCAAATTCCTTTGCCAGTGCGTCTATGGTGTCAGTGCTTTGTCCATTTGTGGCATGAACTCCACTTATGGCCAGACCTAGGGATTCGAACCAGTCAAGGCCCAGTAAACTTGGCAATGCCCTTTCCACAACTGTTACTGGGAGACGGCCTTTGAAATGTTTGAAAACTACTGTCACTTTATTGAGACCCAAAATGGGTATTATATTCCCTTGATAGTCTCTTAATGTGAGGGAACAGGGACTTAATCTTTTCTTTGCCATTTTGGGCACCAACCGTTTGATTGTGCTCCAACTAACCAATGACAAAGAAGATCTCCAAATGGTGTCAACCTCCATTTGACAATCCTGTCCCTCAATTTTAACTGAAAGGATTTTTTTTCTTTAGTGATAAGTTTGTTTGCCCTACTCTGGGGTTGATGTGGCAATTA